CTCTGAGGGAGTCCTAGTGTTCAGTACAGTGAGGTGAGAGGGGCTGTCTCACTCTGAGGGAGTCCTAGTGTACAGTAGTGAGGTGAGAGGGGCTGTCTCACTCTGAGGGAGTCCTAGTGTTCAGTAGTGAGGTTTGGGAGGGATCATACTCTGTTTGAGGGAATCCAGGGTCTCCTGCCTCTCTTTCTCTGGCAGCTGTGTGTGTCCCAGGGGAACCGAGGGGTCAGGCGCATTCCTCCGCCTCTCCTCGGCCTCCCGGCGCCACTTCTCCTTCCGCTCCTGCAGACTGAAGAAGAGAGAGAAGCTGAGAAGGAATGGGAGAAGGTCTGGGGTTGGCTGCTTTACAGGAACAGTACTCGCAGGTCGAGCGTCTCGGAGACGGAGGGGTCCAGTGACTCACTACTGCGGGACGTGTCCTCGCTGATGGCTGTCGTACTCCTCCCTCTCTTTCCTCTGCTGCTCCAGGGTTTGGTTCAGCGCCTGCAGGGAGCGGGAGCGCCGCAGGCAGGCCTGGGTCGCCGCACGCGCGTTGTGCCTCACAAAGTCCACCGCCCTGCCGCGCACCTGCATCTGAACACACACACAGACAAGCAGGAAAGCAGCTCAAACTAATCTGAAGTACTGAACAACCAGGCCATATGTTCCTAAAGGCATATAATACACATAATATAATAAATACATTAATTAACAATACCACCTACATCTAAAAACACTACAGGGGTGTACCAGCCAGATCAGAAGGTTTGATCCACTGCCTGTTCTGCTAGCTGTAAGTTTTGTACACACGCCCCATGCCAGGTGCTGGAAAATTATTTACATTCTTTGTCTCTATTTGAATAGGCAGGAGCCTGGAGTTAAAATGTTCTTACTCTATAGGCCCCTGAGTGGCTCACCCATTACAAGCACCTGCTGGAGGCACAGCTGAGCCTCATCTCGCAGTCTGCTCCGGCCTAGTCTGTCATAAGCCAAGTGAGACCGGAACTCACAGTTGGCTAGGTGCTGCTGGCATTCGGCCGGTAACAGCAGCTTGCAAAGAATTGTGATCTCTGGGTCCTCCCAGAAACCTGGGGGCTGGCAGTGAGAAATGTAGTGCCCCTGCAATCACCCCTCCAGAAAAACACTATGTAGCTCACAGTGCACCAGGAGGCCAAGACCAGTGAGTGAGTTTGTACAAGAGCCTGCAGCTGGTAAAACCAGGAGTCGATCCGACTGTGAAGCAGACCCCTGCACACAAAGGGATAGATACACAGAAAAAGAAGACACTCCGCGGCCCTCCTCTCTGTTCTCCAGGCCCTGCCTCCCCCTCCCTAACCTCTGCATCCGCGTCAAGGGTGGGGGGCCCAGGGGAGGGGCTGCGCCGTGGGGCTCCTGCACTTCCACAGCGCGAGTGAGCCTTCAGGAAGTTCTGGCACTCGGACCTCTTGGGGGGCGTCGTCTCCTGGGAAAGACGGGGATGAAATGTGAAATGTCCATTTCGCAGAGAGTGACAGAAGAATCGTTGCCCTGTTAAGTGGCCGGTACAGAGCGCCGCCGTATTGAGCTGAGCAGTCCCTGGAGCAGGGAGTTTCTCTGGGAGTTTCCGAGCCCCCAAGCTTCTGTTAACCGACAGTGCTGTCCTGCACCACCAGCCTCACCTGCAGCTGGGTCATGACCTTGGACGGCACTGCCTCGTATTTTGGGGACCTCCACAGCGCCTTGACGGGCACAGGCCGGGCGCCCTCCTTCTCGGCCTCTCGCTCCCGGCAGCGGCGCTGGATCTCGCGCAGTCGCCGCACGTTCTCCTTGCCGTGATCCCGCGGCTCCTTCTCTGAGGACACCACAGAACGCACACGTGGGCTCGGGATTTAGGACGGAAAGTACGAAGCACTTCTATACCCGGCCTGAAACACTCATTGCAGTGCGACACCGGCTCTCCAATTGTTTTGAAACAGAAATGATTAAGACAGCACAATTCCAATATAAAACTGTACCAGATGACAATTCGTTTTTACACAGACTCTGCTATTAACTCATCCATCCATTCTTCCATTTTCTATGGAGGCAAGATACACCCTGGGCAGGACGCCAGTCCATCGCAGGGCACACATACACAGACACGCACACACTCACACCAGGGCCAGGCAAACTCGCCAGCATGTCTTTGCATGCAGCATGAGGAAACCAGAGCACCCAGAGGAAGCCCACATGAACCCTGGAAGAACCACTGCGCTACTGTGGCACCTGCTATTAACTCGTACTGCACAATTTGCATTAGACGCTTACTTGTTTCCATAACTCCTTCTATAACAATATATACACTCAATAATCAAAATATTGGAAAACCCCACCCGATTATACGGCATCCCATTCTGAAAAGCAAGGACAGCCTGCAGCACATATTCCTCAAAGTCAGGAAATATTTCCAGCTCAATCACATCCCATTCTTCCAGCAAGATCATTTTTATTTGCGATGATGATTAAGATTTGTAGGGCCAGCATATCAGTTAACCTGTATTTCCAAGAGGAAGTGAGATCTGGGGATTGTTCTGGTTAGGGGGTTAGGGATCATGATGGGAATACTTCTCCTGCTCCTCAAGCCTCAAGCTGACCATTCACACGAATCGGGGCTTCCAACACTTTGACAAGTGTGTCGGATCTGATAAACAGGATATCAGAGGGAGGGAGTTTATTTACTGTGTTTTGGGGGATCTGGGTGCAGAGAGACCCCTTCCAGCTGCAGCAGATTTCCAACGACCCCTCGCTGACCCCTCTCGAGGATGTGCATGGCGTTGGGGTGCACTCGGGGGGGAGGAGGGGGGCGTGCGCTGTAGCAGCCAGGGTGCAGCGAAGGGTCAGGGGCTAGAGGGCCGGACAGAAAGGTCAACTTCAGGTCATTCCCCTCTAGCCTGCCTCGCGCTGTCAACAGAGAGCAAGAGAAACACAGAGATTATAACTACAGTTCGCATAAGTACAGGTGTAATAACCAATTACTGCATATTCCAATGTGAGTGAGCTAAGTCAAGAAAAAGAGGTTGAGCATGAGGATGGAGGAGGATGGAGGCACAGAAAGATGTTTAATGACTGATGAATTATGGGACGGCCACACATGAACTAGGGAAGCACACAGACTCAGGCGAATCCAATGTGAGTAGACGGTCACTCAAGTCCCCAAGACTGGACTAGATAGTGTCTTACCAGAGGCCGGACGTCTGTAAAACTCAGGGAAGAGGGTGGGATCGGGAGGGATCGGTCCAGAGATCCGTGATGGGCCTTCACACATCGTCCCACTGCTCGGGAGAAAGCCAGAGAAAATCCACTATCAGGGCATGGCCTGAAATCCCCAGCTACAATTCCTGCATCATTCCCGAGCTTAAGGCACGAGCAGTGCCAGGAGATCTTTCTGAGACTTGGGCCTGCAATTCTTCTTTCTGCTATCATACAGACAAAACACAAGTCCTTCTGAGCCCTGAAAGTAATGTGTTAATATTTACAACATGCCCGATTTCCACATAATACTGTGAATAGCTAACCTTTGAAGATAAATGCACTAATTTAAGTAAGTGGGGGATGCCACAAACCCTGGCTGCTGCCCTGTATAGTGGAGAGACCCCAGGTTCAGGATCACACAGTGACAATCTGACACACACATATCCCCGGACACACGTGGCCATGCTTCGACTGGCTCAGACATACTCCCACGCTGAAGTGCCAGTCGGGGCACAGCTATAAAAAGAAAATATTCAAGTAACAGACAAGATAACACATCAGGCATGTTGTACTAAATCAGACTAAATGTGGTGTCAAATCATACCGGCTAAAAAAATCTAAAGACACAGAAAACATTGTAGAGACTGTTCTGGATGCGTTTCATTTTTATGGCTTGATTACTGAAGGTTTATAAAGTAGTATTATGGATTTCAAGCTGAGCACAGGACACACTTTACGCAAAGGGTGGTGGGAGAGTGGAACAAGCTGCTCAGCCATGTGGTTGAAACCGATACCTTCTTTCAATAAACAGCTGGATGAGATCCTTGGATCAATCCGTCACTCACTACCAAACAGGCCACATTATTAATAATAATAACATCACTTTATTAACCCTCTACAATTTCTTGCATTAGAAATTATCTTTTTGCATACCCCAGCATGCTCTCCATGAGACACACAGATAGGGAGAGAGTCTGGGGTGACCTCCTGTAGTTTGTAAACTTTATGTTCTTATGTTTTATACCTCAGGCGTATTCTAACGTTATACTTTAATTCTGACAGTAATTGTTTTTAAATGGATGTTACCACCCTTACTAATGATACATAATCATTTTAGTAGCAGTAATAGTTATAATAGGAACAGTCGTATAATTCAGTTTATACCTGTATGCGAGACTCGCAGTTTATAACTCTCTTCTGTCTTAGACACGAACAACTATAAACTCACCCAGGTGGACTCAGAACAGTAACAGTACAATACTGACTCCAGAATGAGTCATGGGAGACCGCAGCAAATACGATACGTGATATTTGTTATCAGTAAGAATTGCAATTGCTTTGAAAAGAGATGTGGGATTTAAAAGGTGAAATTGACATCAGTCCTGTTCCGCACACCCCCACAGACGATTTTTTTCACGTTTCTTGTGCACGAAAGTGAAACCGCCGAAACACACTGCAACCGGCACGGTATCATTTGGAGACGACCAGCGAGCAACCGGACAGGAGAGCCGGTTGACTGTGGACAAGACACAGACATCGACGAATGAAATTTAAAAATGATGCGAGGCTCTGTCACTGCACATAAAGGTTAACAGCCATCATATCAGTGGTCATTAATCTATAACGTTTTAAAATACACGCCTCTCAGAAAACGCGTGACATTTTACCGAACTTGCGGCCAGAACATGTTAACTTTTTGGCGACATAAAATTAGCAAAACAACAGGAGTCAGAATCAATATAAAGAGGAATCGCTCCCTATTTGTAAACGCTTTTTAGCCAAACAGCGCTTTTTCGTTAATTATTTAAATCAAAATAAGCTTTACTGCATTACCGTTTCTTTATCCTTAAACTCAACAGAAAAACCGTCTTCTTCTGCAACGCAATTTGATGACATCACCCCGCTTCATCTCCCAAGCGGAGCAAGCCTCACCATGGCAACAGCACGACATCTGGTGACGTAGTACGTCACGCCATTGTAGGCGTGCTTGGCATATCCTTGAGACGGAGCTTGAGGCGCTGCAGTCCAACCGGTTCTGTGTGCGCCTTCAATGTTCAATGTGCTAATCTCTTACCGTGTATCGGATCTAAGTACCGTGTCTACGGAAAGAGCTTCGAAAATGACCATTTTAAAAATGTAAGGAAAGAAATTATGAAAATAAGTGAATAACAATAAAGCTGTGCATGTATTATAGTCTCTTAGTGTGACTATAGTGGTGCTGTATTTCATCGTGGGTGGGTCTACTCGTTATGAGGCTCTCCGTCGCTAAACGGTATATTAAGCTGTAAATGTTACTCTAATCTCGTATTGTATCCTGAAATCAACCTCACCTTGTAACACGAGGCTCTTACTCTGCTACACTCTTGCTTTAACCTCGTTTCACAACTTCACAACTTTCCGGTACCTTTGACACTAACCCTTATTATAACACGTTTTGGATAGATACCTCATTGATCCCGTGAGGGACATCGCAGTGCAACAGCAGCTTAACGCAGACAACACAGCAACAGTGTAACGAATGATACAACACACGCAATACAATCAGTACAGTGAGCAGTGCACCAAGAAGAGTTACTCACAGTCCAGAACATACAAGACACAAAAGTTCACAAAAATTGAATTGCACAATATAAATATAAATATAAACGTATTGCACAAGCCCCTGGCATATATTGCACAAAAAACGGTTGTAAACAGGAAGAACCAGATGTAGCAGTTTGCTGTCCAGTCCAGAAACAGGTCACTGTCAATGTTGCCCCTGCCCAGACGCAAAGTGGATGCGAATTGTTTTGATGTTAGTGCAACGTTTAGCGTAACATTATCAGTACTGTGCCGTAGCCCCTCGCTGTAAACTGGTTTTTCTGCAGTAGTTCGACTGTACTTCACACAGATCCCCTTTGTAACCCGTTTTATTCTGCAGTTGTCTGACTACTTTATACAGATTCTCACTGAAACCTATTTTTTCTGCGGTAGTTCCACTGTACTTTCACAGGACTTTCCACAGTTCCACTGTGCATGGATCCCTGTGTCTCAGTAATAGTGTCAGAAGACACTGTGTACCCGTTGGTTGCGCTGTCCTTCACATGAGTATAACATATAAAATAAGTCCTGGCTGCTTGCTCATGAAAGATGATGGGTGCTACCCCCCAGTGCGCTGGTTAAATCGTGCTATGGGTTTCAACAGACTGCCCCCCCTAAATGTCTCCCTCAATCCGATGGGAGGAAGTAATTACCCCAATCAGCCGTGTAGTGGGGCTGATGGCGGCTTCAGGCAGGCAGGCCGAGAGAGAGGGGGATATCACGAGTTTATCTGGGGAAGACAAGCTGAAAAGTTTATGCAGACAAGCCGCTCACTGAAGCCCAAATCATTATGGATTCCTGCATGAATCCCACCTACGGATGAAATCTCTGAAGGGATTCTGCCCTCAAACTCTTAAAACGTTTTGCCCGTCTGAGTGTGTATTTGCAGGTGTGTCTGTCAGCATACTGGCCTCGTTTGTCAGACGCCTTGTCTGCTACGCTGCTCCCTATTTTCCCGGCGTCCCTTACCCTCTCCTCCGAGCTCGAAGTGTGTGTGTGTGAGAGAGAGAGAGAGATAGCCGGCGTGTGTCGCGCCTGCTCAGTTTCTGTGGCTGGGTTTCTCCTTCACAGTGCCCTCCTCTCTCACACACTGACAGATCTGCTGCGCGCCGCGCCTCACATCCCGCAACTGAATAACGGTAAGACACCGGCCGGCCCCGGAGCTGGCCCTGGGCCACAGCACCGGCAACAGGGTGGGGGAGAGCGGGACACAGGGCCGGTGAGCGCCGGCCGGGGTGCGAGCCCCGAGGAGGAAGAGGCTTGACCGCCGGGGCCTTTGTGCTCGTCTAAGCGAGTCTCGCCGGCCTACGTGCTGGTTGCGTGGTGCGTCGGATTTCACTTTCAAAATCTGCCGTGGAAGTTTGTGGGTCTGTCCTGACGCGTTACAGCTAACCTTTATTAACCTCAGTGCAGGGGAAGGGTGTTCTTTCTCTTGGTTTTTTTTAAAAAACAAGTCTTAAGTTGTATCATTACGCTTCTTGAAGGGAGGAGGGTTGGTTTCTGAATGACAGCAGTGCGTTGGGGGTCACAGAAGCTGTAGGTGATCCGATTCGTGATATCATTATAGCTACAATTATACAAGACATTGCTGTAGCTTTGCTACATATCAATCGGTTGGGGAAGTTTATATTCTGTAGTGGTTTTTTCATTAATGAATAATACTGATATATTATTACACGTGTTTAATAAGCTGCTGCTGCTATTGTTTAACCACACAATTAATCTAAAACGAATAATACATGGTAGTTCGATATGTGCCTAGCATACATTTAGGGGCACTTGTTGCCTGCTAATTAAAATTCAGATATAGTTCGGTGTTGTACAAATACGTACAGTATTTATTTAAGTGGGTATATGACAAATTGCATATTTAATGATACGGGGTTGAAGCCTTAATTCTCTCTTATCCTGGGGGAACACTTTGAATTATAAATGCCTATAACGCTGTGTTTTTTTGTGCTGGGAAGGGAAAGTGAAACATTAAGGGCTTGTGAAGCAGACACGACCCTGTATAGCTGGGAGTGAACTAACGCCTACAGTACAGCATGAATCCTCGCACGTTTCCACAGAGCAGAGCTCCGTCTCGCCGCTGGACACTGCCAGCGATCCTTGAGTCCACATCGACGCAGCTCCGTAAAGGCGTGATTTCGTTTTACTGATCGGGGTTTCTCGTGTACGTTTTCAGAAAAAGAAGAAAAAAAAAACGTTTAGTGTTACGGTTCATCGAAACACACAATGGAAGCTTCCACATTCGCTTGTACCCACGGAACAGTGCTCGCGCGTGCCCTGGAGCGTGGACAACGCCAGATCCGACTTCACGTCTAGTACGATTCCCCGGGTGTGGAAGTACGGGACACGGTTCATGTTCCGGGCGTTTTAACACTGCACACTTGCTCGCACAGAGACAGGGAGGGTGCGGTTAGGGTGCACCTTGTGTCCTACCTATTGTACACAGTAAGGCGTAACACCACGCCAGTGGGGCGTGTCTGTGAAGCGTCGAGAATACAGGACGCTTTGGGTAACGGCATACAACAGCTGACACTTAACTGATAATTCTGAGAGGGTCGTCAAGACAGATGTTACAGTACAGTCCCTATAACAGGGTCCCGGCTCCTATTCTCTCTGACTTTTCTAAATACAGGACGGTGTGTAAATAAGTTGTACTGTATGTCTCGTTTTTTAATCGATATTAATAGACGTGATTATATATATTTTCCCCCTATTAATACAGTAGGTGTACATCTCTTTTCTTAGCTCCATGATGTATCAATAAATAAGATGTAAATCACTTCTCCTGCATAGTATATCAATATACAGTATAAGGTGTACATCTTCTCTCTAACTATATCA